GGGTTTGTTGTACACTCCTAGGAGAGAAGGAGGCAGCATGTGAAATGGGACTCACACCTCCTTCACATTCCCCAGGGCTGGGCTGTGAGGAGGAGAACCCTTAGAGTATCCTCCTTCCTGAGGACTGAGCCTGAGGCTGGGACCTTGATGTGCCCTCACCTGTCACCACCAACTCCAGGGTGTCACTGGGCTCTGACCAGCCAGTGGGGATGAGATAGTAACAGTGATATCTCCCTGCTGAGATCACTGTCATGTATATGATGGACAAGTTGGTCTTGTCCATGGAATCTAGTGGCTTCTATCTGCCCCAGGGTTGTGTGTTTCCCTCTTTATCCAGATGGAACTCTTGGGCCTTCTGGGAGCTCTGACACCAGATGGTCACCATTCTACCCCAGGGGATCACAGAGCCTGGCTCAGTACACAAGGTGGGTTTGGGGAGGGTCCCTGGAAGGAATCAGAGGCTGGGTCACAAGACATTCATCCCCAGTCCCCAGATTTCAGCCCCAGGACCTTCCCTGGTATCCCCTATCCATTAACTCAGAACTTCTATTCTTCATCCCCAAAGGCTGGAGAAAGTGACCCTTTGTCCTTTGTACACAGAAGGACCCAGAACACCTGGGGACACACTCACCTTCCTGCTCTGAGGTCCTCAGGCCCATGCTCAGCCCTGCAAGAGAGTCCCTGGGAGAGATTTGCCCTGAATCCTGAGCAGAACCCTCCTCCCAGGGAGCCTCCTGAGTCCTAGGGTGCTGACTGAACAGGGCTTCCCTTCCCCCCTCACATCTCACCAAGGCAGAGCAGGGCCATGAGTCTGGAGAGCATGGTGTCTCTCCTCTCTGAGCTCCGCCAGTCAGAAGGAAGAGACCACGGAGTCCTCAGGGTGGATAGACACAGGATGTGGCCACTGGCAGGATGGCCATCCTTGTTATGGTGATATGACGTCAGAAGTCCCTCAGGAAGGGGCACAATGTCTCCTCAGGAGTAAAATTCTCATCTCCATGAGGAAGAAGGAAATCGACCCCAGGTTTTCCGAGGTGATCCTTAAAGTTGAAGTGACCCAAGGCACATCCTTCCAGGTCAGAGCCTTCCCCACAGAGTCCCTTCACCCTGTAACTGTCCATCAGGACCTCTCTTTGGGTCCCCCACATTGACAGTGGTCACCCAGGCCCTAGAGACACTTCAGGAAGATGCTGGTCCTTGTGCCTGCAGAGCTCAGCTCAGCAGAGACATAGTCTCCTCCTCACTGTGCAGTTCAGGCGAGTGTCACTGTGACAATGAGCACAAAGGACAGACACAGGGAAGTGAGGGAAGGACACATGCCCCTTTCCCTGGCCCCAGAGTGTGGCTTGCTTTCTATTCCAACAACCACCACTGACTTCTCATTTTTCTTAGCAATGGCGTCCACCCCACCTTCTTGGCGACAAGCCTCTGAGTGGTCCCTGCCTCCTCAGTGCCCCTTGTTTCCTGGTTCAAGCCTCCTCCTCATGTGTGGTCCTGCCCTCAAGCTTCAGGGGACATTGATTTGGGTTAGAGTCTTGATTTTTACTTAAAGCAGATATTAACTTAAATACTCATCATCCAATGTCCATGTATCCTTCAATGGCAATGTCCTGTCTCTGCCTCAGTCTCCTTATCTGGATCCTGTCGTCACAAAGTCCAGTTCCCACAGTGGCTGTGGGTCAGTGGTGCTGGTTCATGGTAAGGAGACTTCCATTTCCAGATAAGATGATGATGTGAGTGGGCTGGGACATGAGAGGATCAAGATGTCCAGGGTCAAGGACAAGATTATTGCATGTGCTCGAGACCATGTCTGCTCTGAATATCAAGCCCAGCTACTCACAAGACCTCTAAAGTATGTAGGCACAGACATGTGTGGGAAAGAGAAATGTCCCCAAATAGAGAAGAAACCACAGTGGAGAACAAAGATTGAAACTGAGTGGGCCCAGTAACCAGGATTATCCATGAGTCTTAGAGAAGAAATCCCCCACTGAGTGGACAGAAAGGGACCCAAGGTCCTCACAGGAAGGGCGTTCAGAGAGCAGGTGAAGGCTGGAAGTGTGGTCCCTGCCCCATGTTTCTGTGTGGGCTCTGGTATGTCTCTGCCCACTCACCCAAGTTCATGGTCAGCACTGAGCATTCCCTCCTGTGTGTCCTGAAAAAGACTGAGACCAGTATGTCAGCCATGGGTGTCTGTCCTGAGTGTGTGTGTGAGGCTCCCAGAACCAGCCCTGGTGGGCAGAACATTGAACAGGTGCTGAATCTGAGAGAATGGTCGGCATGGGGCAGGGGCAACTGTCATAGACCCTGCTTAGCCCGACTCCCAGGACAGCCCTGGAGAATCTGTGGGACATCAGGTGTGTGAGGGGAGAGGCTTCTACAAGAGTGGGCAGTGGAGAAATCCTAATGGTGACAGACAGTGCTATGGACCCCATCTACTGACACTGGGGACTGTCACATGCAATGAAAGAGTGTCAGTAGGAAATATGAGAGCAATGGAAGATGATAACATATAAATACCTGAAAAATAAAGGGAGGATTCAAATTCTGAGCCAATAATATATGAATTGTTTTATGAAGATGAATATAATGAGTTAGAAACTCATTATATTCAATTTAATAATATGAATTGTTTTATGAAGATGAATATAATGAGTTAGAAACTTTAGACATGCGACAACTCAATAGATGGACACATGAAAATAATTCTTCCCATCAAGGATGAGACAGAGCTGATGGGCCATGTATGACAATACAGAGGAAATGTCCAGAATACATCATAGACAGACCATAAGTGGGGACTGAAGGCACTCATGGATTAGAGTGAGGAGGGTGGACGTCATATCTATGGGGTCAGAAAGAAAGAAGTGAGTGTGACATTTAATAACAGCTCAAGAGATAAATAATCAAATATCTTACCAAGCTGAATAAAGACCAATCTAGTGTTAGGGAGCAGATATATAAAAACGAAATGTGTATCTTGACTTTTTGTGGTTAATGAAGATAATGAAGGTCAAATAAAAACACAACAACATATCCTACACCCAAGTTTATGCATCAGAAATGGTTAATTTTAGTCCCTGGCTGGGTCACTCAGTGGGTTAGATTAAGCCCAAAACTTATTTGGGCTTAATCTCCAGTTGGGGCGCACACAACAAACAACCAATGGATGATGCATCAGTAAGTGGATCAACAATTGATGTTTCTCTCTCTCTCTCTCTCTCTGCCCCACCTCTCAAAAGAAACAATAAAAAATATTTTAAAGGTTAATTTTATTTTAATGTGAATTTCAACTCTAAAAGAAAATAATGGAGGACTGGCCTGGGGTCCTAAAAAGTCCTAAAATTAACTTCCTAGATGCGATGCACATCACCATAGTGACAAGTTCGCTGGGACCGGATTTCCTCATAGCAAACAGTGACACCAGAGGACAGTGGGGACACACCTTCCAGGAGCAGATTGCTAGTGAAGATTCTGGACTGGCCCCATTAGCTTTAAGGGACAAGGTGAATGTGTCAACCAGGCCAGTCTCTAAGCAGGAACCTGTGTCTCCTCCCAACCCACCCTGTGAGGCTGTGTGTCCAGGAGAGAGAACAGATTTCCTGGGAAAGAGTCTTACCACAGGAAAAGGTTTTCTCTCTGAGGAGCTGATTCACAAACTTTAGTTGAAATAAGAAAGTGTTTCCTAGTTCCTTGGTAAAGCAAATGAGACTGAAATGAGGCATTTCAAGAGCAGTACATTTTAAAATATTTTCATCTTTTCACACTTGGTGAAAGGAATAAAATTCAGTGATGTATTTTAGTTAGAAGAACAAAGATCCAAACTGGAAAGTGGGATGCAACAGTGAGGCAAAGTGGGAAAAAACATTAAAAATAAATTTTTAATGTCTATGTTGTGACCCAGACACTTATATAATATTTGATGTCAACTGAATTGAGAAGTAAAACTTATTTGGAAAAGAAGGAAATGATGTCATATGCTACATGGGGGTATCTGAAGGACAAGTAAAATAAACAATCACATAAGAGCAAAAAAAAAATCCATACACACTTTTTTCAAACACGTCGGAATTATAGCTAAGCTACAGGAAAACCATCATCCAGAACTTCCTGCTTTCAAGGTGAACAGAAGTCCCACAACTAAGAGTGTAAAGAAGAAGCCACATCGAGACATGAAATGGGCTGGTCCCACATCCACATGTGGCAGACAGAAGTCAGGAGGGAGAGTTCTGCTACAGAGGTTCTCCCTGAGGAGCCAGGGGTCCCAGCCCCAGACAGGGCACCCCAGCCCAGGGTTCCAGAGCCAAGGAAAGAAATCCTCATAACTTCTGGCTGTGAAAACCAGTGGGGACTGTGGCTGAGTGAGACTACAACTTCTGAAGTCCCAGGCAGTTCCCATCCCACCCAACTTGCAATCTCGCCCAAGCTGTTTCCAGTGCGTTTTCCACACAAATGGCCTCTCTTGCCTCATGCTTCAGACTTTCCTGAAACCTCTCAAATCAGCAGCACCCAAACCCTAATCAATATCCTTGTGAATGATGCCATGTACACATGTTCTCTAAGACAGGTACTTAAAGGTAGAGCTGTGTGTCTCTAACAGGGTAACTGTAATGTGTCTGCTTGGTTGGTGACTACAATTTGCCCTCCTACAAGTGATGCATTAGAATGCTATTGGCTCACTGTCCTCTCCCCCAAGGGATAGTAGGATTTTTCTCTTGGCTTCTCCTCTGGATGCATTGGGACTGTGCCCTTGTACTTCTGTGGAAAATCAGTTACAACACTGAAGTAGAAATCATCATTACATATAAAAGGACAGGCAGCTTAGGTGCACTCTCGGGCTGTCAGACTGCTGTGACTGGTGTCCCACACTGGCTTATACTGTCTGTGAAAGTCAGATTGTGTGTCACTTCTGGACTCTGCATCAGGACCTCACAGGGGCACCTCCAAGTTGGCCACCAGGGGAACACAGATACCAAAACATGGGAAAACACCAAGAACCAGTGTTTTATTAAGAGGAATTCATAGGAGTGACATCGGGTAGTGAAATTATATATAAGTTTCAATGTACAATTCTCTAATACAACATCTGTATCCTGCACTGTGTTTTTAACAGTGGGTTTTTCCAGTGCACTGCAACCCGGGCAGTCCCTTCAGACAAATACATCTTGATTTCCCCAGGCTGGTGTGGCTCCATTGGTTGGAGCATCATCCCATAACCAAAACTTTGTCCTATTTGTTCCCAGTCAGCCCACATACCTAGATTGCAAGTTCAATCCCCTGTCAGGCACATATGGGAGGCAACCAATCATTGTTCATTTCTCACGTCAGTGTTTCTGCTTCTCTCTTCTACCTCTCAAAATAAAAAGCAATGTAAATATCCTCAGGTGTAGATAAAAAAAAAGTCTTTTCTCCATGTGAGGAGGTTCCTGGGGAAAGTCCACAGGTGCCATCTTAGGAAAGGTGAAGGCACATGGGTCCACAGACGGTGCTAGGGCATCATTTTGGATTTATCTCTTGTGCGCTGAATGTTTGTGATGCCAGTTCATGGATTTATTAAAATAGATTTCAGGCTGTGCACTGAGTAGATGGGCAATTTATACCAACCTCGGGCAGGTGTAATAAGACATAAAAAAGAACATGTTTCTGAAAGTGCAGGGAGGTATGGACGTGACCATGCCATGTGGGATCAATTCCAATTTAACTGAATGGGAAAAAGTCAGACCTTGTCACATGACTCAACAATGGACAGGAAAGGATGGGCTGAATTTAATGGCAGAAGGGTTCAGACCTTGTCCCCCTGCATATGACCAAGAAATCCTCCACCTGCAATAAGCTACAGACAGGTCACATGGCATGCCCCGATTATGTTCCATAACTTTCTGGGCACATGACCTCATTTCCAAGTCTCTTACTCTGAAGGGTGCTCTGGCCACTTCTGTGTTCAGGTCCTGGCCACAGCCTGGGCCATTCTCTCGCTGTCTTGAGCCTGAAACAGCAGTACCCCGAGGACCACCAGGACCAAGCCAGCCAGGCCCATGCGGATTAGATTCCCCACTCTGTAGTCTTGAGGGTGGGAGTCTAGGAAATGTGGACAGAGAGGTTTCAGAGGTCACAGCAGGCAAGACCCCTGGATCTGGGATGCCCACACAGCACACCCGTCTTCCCCTGACAGGCAGGACCCTCTGCACCCAGCCTTATAACTGAGGATTCTTCTACTCACCATTCATGTCATCTGAGCTGTTATGTGATGGGCCGATGGTGGCAGCTGCTCCTTGAAAATCATAAAGAAGTGGATGTATGAGCAGTTGATCCCACTCAAGCCAATTGTCCTCAAAACTCTTGAGTGTCTCATGACCTCATGCTTCTAACTCCTCAAACCATCTCTCTGCTATGAGGGTCCTGTCTGCTGCCATGGGCCATGCCCATCTCCCGGGTACTTGTCAGTGCAGACATTGCTCCTGAGAGTTCAGGTTTGGTGAGAAAGGTGGTCTCTCATTACAGAACAGAGACATTCTTCTAATGCCCCTGCTCTATGTGGCAGACTCAACCATCCAAACTCACTCTTCTGGAGCTGAGAGTGTGTATTTATTCAGCAGCTGAGGACTCAGGGTCCATGGGTGGGTCTCATCTATACACTCAGATATATATGGGGTACTCAAACAATTCTTGAGCTCTGAGTATAGATAATTTTATGAAAAAACTTCAAAATGTATCTGAAGTCTAAAACAACCCCTTTAAACATCTTTATTTTAAAAAAACCTTCCTTTTAGTATAATGTTACTTTTCTCTTAAAAATATTCTATTTATTAATTTTAGGAATGGAAAGAGAGGAAGAGAAACATCAATGTGTGGTTTCCTCTTGAGCACCCCCTATTGGACAGCTGACCCACAACCTAAAAATATGCCCTGACAGGAAAAGGAACCAGCAACCATTTGATTTGCAGGCTGGCACTCACTCTACTCAGCCACACCACCAGGTCAAAAGGTTACTTTTCATAATAAAGGAATAATTTAACATAATCACAGTGAAAATAGGAGTAGATTTACCTTTTTAAAGTCAGAAATGTTCATAACTTAAATGTATATGTGGAAGCATTGCTTTAAATTTCTCAGAAAACATGCTATAATAGAGAGGTGTGGGCAGACATGTAGAGAAAAGACAAGAATTTCACACCGAATCTGGGCAAGAACCCCCAGTTCCTCATGAGGTATCCACAGCCCCCCACACGCAACCTGAGTCTCAGGTGAGCACTGAGTGCTAGAGGCCTCCAGGTGAGCCCAGGGGCCTGCAGAGTGATGCCCATAGGTGGGGGCACTTCTCCCCATAAGAGAGTGTCCCATGGGGACTGTACTATCCTCCACAGCAGCACCACCTTGGTTGAGCCGCCTCTTGCCCTGCTGTGAGAGGGTTGAAGGACCCCCATACAGGGCAGCGGGTTCCACTAAGGGTCTGGAAATGAAGTGCCAAGGGAGAGTCCACCTGTTCTCTCTCCAACCCTCCTGGCTGCTCCCCCTGCATAGTTCAGCTAGTTTCCCTGTATTACAAGCCAGACCTGGACACCAAATTCTGCAAACTGGCACCAAACAAACTACTGAGGGGCCTAGGCTTTTGGTGGAAAATCCCACAGATTCTATGTGGCAGGGGGAACAGTGACACCCTCAATGTGAATTTCCAAATCCTCACAGTTTCCTTGATACCAAGGCTTCTGCTTGCTAAGCTAAGCCCCCACGCTGGATGGAGCTGCTCCCCCACACCCATCTCCCTGAGCTGTTTCATCTGTACAAGGTCCCAGTTAGTGGGACAAGTAGAGAGGGTGGGACCAGGAACAGGTGCCACTTCTTCAGGTGCCCCCAAAAGTCAGAAATGAACATGCTTCTGTGGGTTCTGGGGAGGAAGCTCCCCCTTACTCAGGTGGAGAAAGATCCTCAGAACTCACCTCCCTGGGCAGCTGAGTCCACACACACCCTCTGCCCTCTATCCTAGGGTCCTGCCTGTGGCATTTGCCTCTGGGGAGCAGCACTGCTCTGGTTCTGAGATGGAGACACCTGAAGGCAGTTGGCTGGGACTCCATCCTGTAACTCCAGTTCACTCTCACTTGCCTCTTGATGTCACAGTCCAGCAAGACTGTCTCCCTCCCTTGCTCAGCCCTGTCTGAGCCTGCAGAGTCAGGAGGTCCCAGGGGTGGGCGATGTATACCTGCTTCTGCCTCTCACAGGATGACCCTTCTCTGTGGAGCCACCTAGCCCTCCCATTATGCCTTACCAGGGGACAGAGCCCACAGTGGTCCTTGGAGCTCAGAGAGGATATGGCAGGTGAGTCTCACCGGAGACCAGGATCTCTGGGGCCAGAAACTAGATGACATCTTGACCCCAGTGGGGCACTGGCAGCCTCTACCATTGGAACCCACCCATAGGTCATAAGCCCGGGCTGGGTAGCAGAAGGCAGAGGCTGCCTTCTGCTGACATGAGCCAGGCTGCTCCTCTGTTCAGCTGGGCCCCTAACATCTCCCTCCACCATGACCACCTTACCTGTCACCTGCCTTCCTTACCCTGCACAGGCCTAACTGGGCTGGGGTGATGGGAAAACCATCAGAGACCCTGGAGCCCCATGGTTCCCATGAAATCTCTCCCTGCTGACACCCAGAGCCCCGAAGCTCTAGCCTGACCTTAAATATCTGAGGGGCATAAGATGCTCAGACTCAATCTCCATGGCTGGTCTGTGTTTGTGGACAAGGAGCCCCTGTGCTCCCCTCACTCCACCCTTCACATGGGGGCTCCCCTCCCAACAAATACCCCAATCACCTGTCCAGTGCCTCAATCCATGGATGGGACAAGAATGGGACTCACCTGATACCAGGAGCTGCAGGGGCTCACTGGCTGGTGACCACATCTGGGGGTTGCTCCTGTAGTAACCATAGCATCTGAAAGTCCCACTCTGTCTGGGGATCATGGGGCCCACAGGGAACAGGGCCTGGAAATGCCCACTTGGGTCTTGCTGTGAGTGCAGGCTCCAAGAGAGCCTGTTTTCTGCTTCCTTAGTCAGAACAAACTTGCCAAATCCCTCATATGAGTGACATTTGAGAGTCACATTCTCTCCTGAGGTCACAACAGGGCTGGGCTGGGCTGAGAGGCTCGGTTTGCTGTAGACTCCTAGGAGAGAAGGAGGCAGCATGTTAAATGGGGCTCACACCTCCTACACATCCCCCAGGGCTGGGCTGTGTGGGGGACACCCCCTGAGAGTGTCCTTTCTGAAGGAAGAGTCTGAACCTGGGACTTCTGAGTGTCCTCTCACCTGTCACCACCAGCTCCAGAGGGTCACTGTGCTCTGACCAAACACCTTGGCTGAGATAGGAACAGTGATATCTCCCTGCAGTGTGATCTGTCATCTTTGTGATGGGGAATTTGGCCTTGTTCCTGGGATCCAGTGGCTTCTGTTTGTCCCAGAGCTCTGGGCTTCCCTCTTTATCCAGACAGAACTCCTGAGCCTGCAGGGTCCCCTGACACCAGATAGTCACAGGGCTCCCCCAGGGAATCACAGTGCCGGGCTCAGCCCAGAGGGTGGGTTTGGGGAGGGTCTCTGGAAGGAATCAGAGGCTGAGTCAGAACATTTCTTACCCCCAGTGCCCAGCTCTCAACCCCCAACATCTCAGATGTCCTTCATCTGTCATCCAAGAAGTGCTGCTCTTCATGTCCAACTTCCCAATGAGTTGCCCCTGATCTCCAGGGGGAATGACATCTAGGAGCCCTGGTGACAGACTCACCTGCCTGCACAGGTGTCCTCAGGCCCATGCTCAGCCCTGCAAGAGAGTTCCTGTGAGAGATTTGCCCTGAATCCTAACCAGAACCCTCCTCCCGCAGAGCCTTCCAAGTCCTCGGGTCCTGACAAACAGGGCCTCCCCTGCCTGCTAACTACTCACCAAGGCAGACCAGGACCATGACGCTGGGGGTCATGGTGTCTCCTCTGTGAACCCAGCTATGCAGAAGGTAGAGACCAAGGAGTCCTCAGTGTAGAGATTCACAGGGTGTGGTGACTGGGAGGTTGGCTATCCCTGTCATGAGGTTGTCACACAAACAGCCCATCAGGAACAAGGACAGTGTCTCTCCCCAAGAGTCCGAACATCAGTTTCTTGATGAGGGAAGTTATAGGCGAGGAGCCTCCTGAAACTCCCCTCACAGGTCATGTGGACTAGGGCACAGCCTTCCAGGTCAGAGCTTCCACTATGGAGTCCATTCACCCTCTGCCCATCTTTCAGCACCTCCTTCTGTGTTCTCCCCATGGACAGTGGTTACCCAGGCACTGGAGACACTTCAGGAAGACAGGGGTCCCTGTGCCTGCAGAGCTCAGCTCAGCAGAGACATAGTCCTCTCCTCACTGTGCAGTTTAGGCAAGTGTCATGGTGACAATGAGAATATAGGACAGACACAGGGAAGTGAGAGAATGACGCAAGCCCCTTCCCCTGGCCCCAGAGTTTGATTTTCTTTCTATCCCAGCCACCCTCACTGACTTCTCATTTTTTCTTAGCAACAGTGTCCACCCACCTTCCTGAGGACAAGCCTCTGAGTGACCCCTGTCCCCTCAGTGCCCCTTATTTCCTGGTTCAAGTCTCCTCCTCATGCTGTGGTCCTGCCTTCAAGCTTCAGGAGACATTGATTGGGACTGGGCTGTGATTTTTCCTCTTAACAAACATTATTGGAATACCCATAACCGAATGCCTGAGTGATCTGTGTGCTAATGTCCTATCTCTGAGCCTCAGTTTCCTCATCTGAATCGTGTTGTTACAAACCCAGTCCCCAAAGTGGCTGTGCATCAGTGGTACTGGTTCATGGTAAGGAAACTTCCACTTCCAGACCAGATGAAAATGTGACTGAGATGGGACATGAGAGGATCAAGGTGTCCAGCATCAAGGGCAGGATTGTAGCAACCACTTGAGACCTTGTTTGCTCTGAACACCAAGCCCAGCTACTCACAACAGCTCTAAAGTATGTAGGCACAGACATGTGCAGGAAAGAGGAATGAAAGTTTCCCAAATGGAGAGGGAACCACAGTGGAGAACAGGCACTGAAAGTGAGTGGCCCCCAGTGACAAGCACCATCATGAGTCATAGGGATGAGATCTCCCTAAGTGGACAGAGAGGGACTCCAGATCCTCAAGGGAAGGGGAGCAGAGAGCAGGCGAAGGCTGGAAGTGTGGTCCCCACCCTGTGCTTCTGTGCAAGCTCTGGAATGTATCTGCCCACTCATCCAGCTTCATGGTAAGTAATGAGCAGTCTGTTCTGTGTGTCCTGAAACAAACTGAGTCCCGCATGTCAGTCATGGGTGTCTGTCCCGAGTGTGTGTGTGAGGCTCCCATTGGACCAGCCCTGGTGGGCAGAATGCTGAGCAGGTGCTGAACCTGAGAGAGTGGTCAGCAAAGAGCAGGGGCAGCCACCACAATCCCTGCTCAACCTGACTTCAGGGTCAGCCCTGGAAAATCTGTCAGAGATGAGGTGTGTGAGGGGAGAGATTCCTATAAGAGTGGACAGTGGAGAATTCCTAATGGCGACAGACAGTGCTATGGATGCCCTCTACTGATATTGGGGACTGTCCAATACAATGGAAGAAGTCAGCAGGAAAGCAAGAAAGCAATTTAAGATGACTGCATGTAATACCTGAAAAAGGGAGGATTCCATTTTTGAGGCAATAATATCAATTGCTTTATGCAGATGAATATAACGAGTTAGAAACCTTAGAGATGAGTAAACCCAATAGATGGACACATGAAAATAATTCTTCCCATCAAGGATGACACACAGCTGAAGGGCCATTTATGACAGTGGAGTGCAATATAGAGGAATTTCAAGAATGCAGCAGAGGGAGACCAGAAGTGGGGACTGAAGGTACTTGGAGACTAGAGTGAGGAGGGTGGACATCATATGTATGGTGTCAGAAAGAAAGAAGTGAGTGTGACATTTGGTAACAGCTCAAGACAGAAATAATCAAACATTTTACTGAGATGAAGAAAGACCAATCTAGTGTTAGGGAGCAGGTATATAAAAATGAAATCTGTATCTTCACTTTTGTAAAAATTGCTGCTCAAGTACAGTTTTCTAACTTTTACCCTCATCCCAGCCCACCTTCCCCACACCTCCCCACCTCCCTCCTTTTTCCAAACTCCCTTGTTTTTGTCCATGTGTCCTTTATACTTTTTTGCTGTAAACCCTTCCCCTTTTCCCCTGAAATTCCCTCCCCTATCCCCTCTGGTCACTGTCAGCCTATTCTCTATTTCAGTGTCTGACTATATTTTGCCTGTTTGTTTGTTTTGTTGATTAGCTTCCTGTTCAGGTGATATCATATGGTGTTTGTCTTTCACTGCCTGGCTTACTTTGCTTAGCGTAATGCCTTCCAATTTCATCCATGCTGTTGCAAAGGGTAGGAGTTCCTTCTTTTTTTCTGCTCCGTAGAATTCCATTGTGCAAATGTACCATAGTTTTTTCATCCATTCATTTACTGATGGGCACTTCGGCTGCTTCCAGCACTTGGCTATTGTAAACTGTGCTACTATAAACATTGGGGTGCACAGGTTTTTTGGATTGGTGTTTCTGGGTTCTTAGCATATAATCCTAGCAGTGGAATTGCTGGGTGAAAAGGCAGATCCATTTTTAGTTTTCTGAGAAAAATTCCATGCCATTTTCTGTAGTAGTTGTACTAGTCTGTAATCCCACCAACAGTGCACTAGGGTCCCCTTTTCTCCACAACCTCTCCAACACTTGCTGTTTCTTCCTTTGTTTATGATGGCCATTCTGACTGGTGTGAAGTGGTATCTCATTGTGGTATGAATTTGCATCTCTCTGATAGCTAGGGATACTGAGCATCTTTTCATGTGTCTCTGGACTCTCCATGTGTCCTCCTTGGTGAAGTGTCTGTTCAAGTCCTTTGCCCATTTTTTAATTGGGTTGTTTGTCTTCCTAGACTGGAGTCATCTGAGTTCTTTATATATTTTGGACATTAAACCCTTGTCTAAGGTATCATTGGCAAATATGTTTTCCCATACAGTTGGTTCTCTTTTTATTTTAATACTGTTTTCTTTAGCCATGCAGAAGCTTTTTATTTTGATGAGATTGTATTTGTTTATTCTTCCTTTTATGTCCTTTGCTCTAGGGGACATATAAGTGAAAATGTTGCTGCATGAAATACCTGAGATTTTCCTGCCTATGTTCTCCTCTAGGACTTTAATGGTGTCACAGCTTATATTGAAATCTTTTATCTACCTTGAATTTATTTGTGTGTATGGTGTATGTTGGTGCTCAAGTTTCATTTTTTGTACATAGCTGTCCAGCTCTCCCCACACCATTTGTTGAAGAGGCCATGTTTACTCCATTTTATGTTGCTGCCTCCTTTGTCAAATATTAATTGACCATAGAGACTTGGGTTTATTTCTGGGCTCTCTGTTCTGTTCCATTGGTTCATGTGCCTGTTTTTATGCCAGTAGCAGGCTCTTTTGATTACAGTGGACTTGTAATACAGTTTGCTTTCAGGTATTGTGATCCCTCCTACATTGCTCTTCTTTCTCAAAAGTGCAGCAGCTATTCGGGGTCGTTTATGGTTCCATATAAATTTTTGAAGTGTTTGTTTTATGTCTGTGAAGTATGCCATTGGTACTTTAATAGGTATTGCACTGAATCTTTACATTGCTTTGGGTAGTATGGACATTTTGATGATTTTAATTCTTCTGATCCATGAACATAGTATATGTTTCCATTTGTGTCTTCTTTGATTTCTTTCTTCAGTGTTGTGTAGTTTTCTGAGTACAGGTCTTTTACCTCCTTGGCTACGATTATTCCTACGTATTTTATTTTTCTTATTGCTATATCAAATGGGATTTTTTTCTTGATTTCTGCTTCTGCTGTTTTATTGTTTGTGTACAAAAATGTCTTTGATTTCTTGATATTGACTTTTTATCCCGTTGTTTTGCCAAATTCATTTATTTGGTGAGGCAGTTTTTTGGCAGAGTCTATAGGATTTTCTATGTACACTATCATGCCATCTACAAACAATGACAGTTTTGTTTCCTCCTTTCCGATTTGGATGCCTCTTTTTTATTTACTTGTCTAATCGCTGTGACTAAAATTTCCAATACTATGTTGAATAGAAGTGGTGAAAGTGGACAACCT